TCCATTCTGAAACGAGGAAATCAGTTTTGGAAGCAGCATAATTCAAGAAGGCTGAGAGAAAATCTTGCACCATGTAAGATCTTAAGCTGCTCCTGTCTATGGAACGTCAAATCATTGGATAATTTTGGTTTGGCAACAATTTCGACACTGACTAGAGAACTAGGCTAAACTTGCTCAGTTGAGGGATTAAAAATTTTCGCGAAGCATTTTTCAGGGAAGGTGTGAGGAAGAGGCGAAGGTGGTTCAACTGATCTCATGTCACGTCAAGAACACGGCTGGGTTCTTCAATGATCTGAGTTAGTTCACAAGCAATGGAGACATCTCTGACATATCAGCACTCATCACCAGTTTTAATCGAGTTGACTAACCACTTTGTGGTGAATATTGAAGTCTATAAAGATATGAAAGGTGAGGGAATTTCAGTTAATATATTATCAATCCTGACAGATGATCTGTCGAAAATTAACGTCCCATCGAACTGTTGACGTTAGAGAATCAACATGAATATGATAATGTGGATAAATGTATATACAGGAGATAGGGGTATAAATCCGATTTTATACGCAATTTCACCGAAAACTCCAGGAATAAACAACCTTTTGAATATACCCTCTGTACATTAAACGAAATCTCTTGTTCGGCGAAAAGAAAAACGCAATAAACAATTTGTCAGTCATTATTAATGAAGCATATATAAGACGAGGAGTGCTGACTAAATACACAAAATATATATTTATTGCTTTAAACTGTCATAACTCTTGCATCATCCTTAACTGCACACGCGCGTGCGCGCACACAAACACACACAGATACACACCCGTATGTGTGTGTGTCTACAAGCTGCATTTAGGAAGCAAATTTTAATTTTCGTGGATTTGTTTGAAAATCAACAAAAGTTGGCGCTTTAAGATATTTAATATTTTCTACTATTCAAATAAAATTTATGTTTTAAATTTGACTTTAAATAAGCTCTATTTTTAATATCATTGTAAATTGGCAACAAACTAACGCACATGAACACACATATATACACACATACGCAGACGCAGACACACACTCACATACATATATGTGTGTGTTTGTGTGATCTGTATTAAGGGAAAGAAGTACGAAAAAGTGAAAAAAGTGTTGCCATTTTTTCATTGTCCTTGATATATAATAAATAGATCTTAATATATGATAAATTCATATATCGATATCTTATATATATATATGTGTGTGTCTGTGTGTTTTACCTGCCTTAAACCACTCGGCCACAGATGACCTCGTGATCAAACCAAGACTGAATAATGCTTTTGAACAAATATTTTCCCGATTCTCGAAATATACCTATCTGCTTTTTTCATATCCTAATGTAAATAAAGACATTTTTCGGAAATGGATTAAAACCGACAGATTTTTAATTTATTTGTTTAAACGTTATTTTTTTAATTTGATTATATTTTTATTCTTTTATAAAACAATTTATCTATTTATTTAGTTTACCGGCCAGAATATTCGAGATATCCTATTAGAAACACATGCACCGTCCGGCAGGATTAAAAACATTTCCTAAAAAAAATTGTTTCCATTAGGATAAGAAACAGAGCATATATGTATATTTCGAGAATCGGGAAGATATGAGTTCAAAAGCTCTCTTCTTTTGTATGATCAGAAAGTCCTACGTGGCTGAGTAATCTATGGCACCTCGGATCTAATGAGAGTTTCCCCTAGTTGACACAGGTTCGAATTTATATATTTATATACTTGTACCATATACGGCAGCTGGATGTTTTCCATAAAAAGCTGTCTGCTTGCCATCTATGTAGTTAACCTTCAAGATAGGACAACTAACGTAGACCTGTTTAACATGTGCTATATTGGAGGAATCGAGACTTTTCTCATGCAGTCTCAGTTACGGTGGACTGGTCATGTCTTGAGATTGACTGTTGACAGGATATCCAAGATCATAATGTACAGCCAGTTATATCAGGGCTACAGGAATGTAGGACGCCCATGGCTAGATACAAAGACAAGCTGAAAAGCAACTTATCTGCAGTCAATATACCACATAACACCCTTGAGCGCTTAGCTTTGGAGCGGGTAGAATGGAGATCAACGTGTTTTAGCGGACTCATCAGTTTTCAATCTGCTAGTCTGAACCGTCTGAAGCGAGAGCAAGATCTAAAAGGTCCGTCAATGTAACAGTGATTTCATCCCACAATTCTAACTCTTGCTCCATATGCGGCATCCTTTTTACATCACTACTGGGTCTTAAGTGCTACTTAAGATTATCGCACAAAATTTCAGAACTGAACTAATTCGTTAAGTTGTCAGATCTTCATACGTCGAAACAGACGGGAGAGTCCATTACACACACACACACATACTCATATATATATATATATATATATATATATATATATATATATATATAAATAAAAAAGAAAGAACAGTAAGATATAAAATCCGGTGTTCTTATAGATATTTTTATTTTTACAAAATAGTGCTCAATGTAAATTTACAGAGCATTAATATTACAAATTCATTGATTTAAAATATGTTTTTTTTCGCTACACAGTTCCAACCATGTTTCAAAAAATAGAAGCTAAAACCCTGAATTTAATTTTGCAATTAAATTAAAAGTATTAGTTCCATTTCATCTTCAAGCGAATTTTTGAGTAACTTTTAAAAATTACCGGGTTTTAAAGACACAGCTAAAATCACGTTTCCATGGTTACAGAATATTCTACTTAAATTGAACAAGGGATGTCTAGATTTTCCTTATGTCAGTATCATTGTATCAGTTATTAGCTACAATTTGGTAAGGGGTAGGGATGTATTTTACAATGAAACCTGACATCAGTTGAATGGATGTCGTCTGAATTTTTTTTTTTTTTTTTTTTTAAATTGTTAACGGTATATATATATATATATATATATATATATATATATATATATATATGTATTGCCTCAAGTCTCTCATTCATCTATCACAAGATTGTCCTGGTCTGGTTGTTACAGATGTGGACTGATATTACATAAAAATACGCTTTTCTTTGCGTTTGATCAAAAATTCTCTTTTCTTAATATTTTGTCCGGCGTTCTGGAAGTCATCTTTTACTATTACAAAGAGCTTTCAGATTTTGTCTTCACAATTTACCTCTTCTCATAGAACATTTCCTAGATATTTAAAGTTTTCTTCAGGCTTGTTTTCGATATCACCAGTTCGCAAGTCTCATCTTGATCTGTTCCTTTTTCTGACAACCATACATTCTATCTTTTTGCAATTGATTGTTAGTCCTTTCTTCTCGTTTTCTATTACTACTAAGTAGTTGATGCCGTTTAAATCTTTTATAAATCTATGTGGGAAGCATCAAGATGATGCTCCGCCTTATTTCCATGTTAGAAAAATATATCTACAGTAAAGTCAGCATTTAAAAACAAAAAAAAACAAAAAAAAAAACGCGTTTTTACTTTGTCTGAAAATCCGACAGCTATCCCTAGTCGGAAATAGTGTGAAACCCAAAACTGTCTATATAGATATCTTCTGCATATATATTTGAAGGTTTTATATAAGTTCTAATACTTAAAATTACATTATATATGCATTAAACGTTTGTATGTCTCAATGAATGGGTGTGTTTTGTATGTTTAAGCACATTACAATGCATATCAATCGATACACTTGTCTTTGCTGCAAGTGTGTATATTTGTATACAATACAAGCGCGTTACTCATTGCGAGAATGTTAGTCTGGGGCGAACGTCCAAAAAAAAAAAAAAAAAGAATGGTGACTCACCCGTTCTATTGACACAAAAACACTCAACGCTGTGTGATCGTCTCTTTGTCCTCAAAGTGAAATGGAATAATGCTATTCATTACAAAAGAATTGCATGCCTTAACATTTCAAATGACGGCGGATACATCAAAGGGACGCAACTATCACGACTGCACAAGTTTCAATGAATGAAAAACGCTCGCAACAAATACGGCGGGAGGTACAGGCATAATACATTGCGGTGAATGGCAGACACAAACAATAGGCAAAACGGTAGTTGAAGCAGACAACACGTTTCAACAAATGGCCAAGCAAGGAATGGAGGTGAAATGAGAGAGAAAAAAATAAAGAAAAGAAAAGCGTTAAGTCTATATAAGCAAAACCTATTATTTGTGATGAGAGCTAGAATTGCTGGAGCATTAATAAAATATATTTGTATTTACATTTTCTTTAATCGGCTTCCTTTTTCTTTCTTTCTTCAAACTTTTTTCATTTCTGATATTCTTCATTAGTTTACTCTATCCGTCCTTCTTTTTACTTGTTTATATATTCGTTCAAATGTTCACTTCTTATTTTCTCCTTTGATTTATTCAGGATTCTTTCTTTCATCATTTAACGTTTGCTCAGCTTTGTATGTTTTCTAATTAATTTCTTTTGATCGTTTCTGTTTTAATTATTACTTATTTCCTGTATCATAGATATTTGGTTTTATAGTTTTTCGTTTTTCATTTGTTTTTTATCAGTTCTTTCTTTCTTAGTTTCCTGTTTTTATTTGTTTATTTCTTCCTTTATCTTTCTTTCTTTCTTCCTTCCTTCCTTCATCTTTCTTTCTTTCTTTCTTTCTTTCTTTCTTTCTTTCTTTCTTACTTCCTTCATCTTTCTTTCTCCCTTCATATTTCTTTCTTTCTTTCTTCCTTCATCTTTCTTCCTTTCTTTCTTTATTTATTTATTCTCTGTTCTTTCTTTATTTATTTCCATCTCTTTATTTCGAGATCTATCTATCTATCTATCTATCTATCTATCTATCTATCTATCTATATCTTGAATTGTATTTTATTTCTGTAATATATTCTTCCTATATACAACTTTGCCATTTTCCATTTTTAATATTTTCATTTTTTCATGCTTTTTATATTTTTCGAATTTATTTTCTTACATTTTGTGTATATTCTTCTATCATTAATTCAATTTTCTTTCTTTGTTTCTGTTTTTCTAACTCTATATTTTTTGTCCATATCCAATGTTTTCTCTTCTTCCATTTTTTTTTATTTTCTTCATTTCTCTTTCATTCTTTCTTTCTTGCTTTCTTTTTGTTAACGAATTTTGCAACACTCATTCAGTCATAAATTTTCATCGCCGTCATTTCTTTTCTTTTAGTTAATATATTCCCTCTTTCCTATTTTCTTTCCTTTATCATTTCTTTTAATTTATTCCCCTTTCACATTTCGCCTTCATTTTTCCTTGCATCTCTCTGGTATTTCTTCTGTACTTGCTTCATTTTTTTTCGGTCTACCTCTGTTTCTTTCTTCAACACCGCCCCCTTTGAAGAACTCTTCAAAACATTTAAATCAGTGGAATGCGATATTTCCGAATAATTTTCATTTCATTTTATTTTTTTATTCTTACTATATTCCTAGATTAGGACATTGTTTGTTGCTTCCTGTTTTCTGACTTCCGGTTTTTTCTTCCTCCGTTTTTCCTTACATATGTTTTTTTTCTTTCTTTCCGGTGACTTCTTTCCTTATTTCTTTTCATGTGATTCCTTTCTTTCTTTCTTTCAGGTGATTTCTTATTTCTTTTTTTCTTTCTTTCTTTCTTTCTTTCTTTCTTTCTTTCTTTCTTTCTTTATTTATTTCCGGTGATTTCGTTGTTTCTTTATTTATTTATTTTATTCCGGTGTTTTCTTTCTTTCTTTCTTTCTTTCTTTCTTTCTTTCTTTCTTTCTTTAAATGCCTTTTCCTCAACTTACAGACATAGATCATCATCATCATCATCATCATCATCATCATCTTACCTTTCTAATTATTTGTCTTTTTTCATTAGTATTTATCCTCAATTTCTTTCTTTATTCCTTCTTTTCTTTTCTTCTTTTTCTTTCTTTCTTTCTTTCTTTCTTTCTTTCTTTCTTTCTTTCTTTCTTTCTTTCTTATTCCCTCCATGTTATTTTTCAATTTACGGAGTTTTTCTTTTATATAATATACCTGTTTATTGATTACTTTCATTAGTTCTATTTTCTGGTTTTCTTTAATTCAACACATCTTTAACTCTACCCTCATTTAATTTTACTGTATCTATCAACAGTTTCGTTCCCAACACACCTGTCACTTTTATCTCTCTTTCTATCGTTTCTATCTACCTCTCCACATATCAGTGACTATAAATAAAGTAAATCTATAGAAAAAGAGTCTGCAAAATGAACAATCTATAACAACAAAAAAAAAAGAAATATGTTGAGGAAAGAAAAATGCGACTCAGAAAATATAATATACATAAAAAGAATTTAAATATATTTTGACTGACAGAGTACATAAAAAAATATAACAACATTAAAAAAGAAAAGATGAATTCCATGAAGGAAGGAGAAAATAGACACAAAAGATGTAAAAAAAACACACACACACACAGAATAATGTAAAAATAACTCGTCATTTTAATAACTTTGATTCTGGGGCATGCAAAAATGGACAAATGCAAATAAAGTAAAAGAGATTTACTGAAAGAGAAAATTACTCTTCGTAGACCATTTTTTTTTCATCAAAGACTGATTGTTCACAAAAATTACTTATTCCAGACAATATTCTTTTCTTTCTTTCATTCTATCATTTTTGTTCACCGTTACTGCGCATACATATAACACGAAGTGATAAGTATAAATATATAAATATGTATCCATGTATGTACGCATGTGCGTTTTCAAATGTTTATGTACATCAAACTGAAATACAAAAGCGTACTTTTCGTATTAAATAACCACTTATGAATATGAATGTGGATATATCTAAAATAGCCTGTTTCATATGCATATTCATATCAGTAATAATAATAATAATAAGAAGAAGAAAGAATAAGAATAGCAACAACAACAACAATAATAATAATAATAATAATAATGTGAGAGTTGTAACCATTCAAATTAGATGAAGAGCAAGAAGAACCTTGAAATATGTAATGAAGAATCAAACATCACAGATAACAGCATTGCAAATATTTTCTGCAGAATGCCACCATTATTTACAGAATAAAAATTGTATGAATCAATTTTTACTGGTAAACGTTCTATGATATATATATATATATATATCGTGAGTGTGTGTGTCGTCATCCACACACAGACTGTTTGACTTTATCACAGCTCCTCAGTGTAGCTAGACATCCGATTGCTTCAAGCCGTGATCGAAACCCGTTAGGCCATCGTCACACGGCAGGGAATTTCATATATATATATATATATATATATAAAATTCCCTTCCAGTGTGAGTATATATATATATATGTACACACACATATATTGATTTTCTAAGCGAGGCTTAGATGTGGCACATGGCCGAAAGTATGGGGCACCCAGTGAGGATCGAACTCACTATTCACTTGTAACAGTTTTAGCAAGACCAGCTTGCTAACCATTACACCACGCCGAGGCGCCCACATATATACATATATATATACACATATATATATACGCGCGTATATATACGCGTATTTATATATATATATATATATATATATATATATATATATAATAAAAATATACATTTTGTTTCTCGGCGGTAGCGCAACGGTTTAATTTATCTGCGGGATACTCTGTCTCTGTCTCGTTCTCACTTTTCTCTCTCTTTCTCTCTCTATATATATACATACACACACACACATATATATATATATATATATATATATATATATATATATATATATATATGAGGACGTGCGGCTCAGACTGAAGAATCGGAAAGCCGAGTGCGTATTCTTGTGTGAATCCATTGCATTCAATTTCAAGCTAATTCCCTTGGGAAAGATATGAATCCTCTACTTACCACCCCACCTCCAGTAGTAAATAGCAGGGCATACTGGGTTCTATACTAGACATGGGCAGCAACCGGTCTAGGAGAAGGACAGCTCTGAATTCAAAAACTGAGAGGTTTGTTTGGGGACAATGTGTCACGTCGCGCACCATTTCTCTGTATTCGGATCTCCAAAAAGTGTGGTTGCTTCTGTACACGCCTTCATTACTATAATCAAATGATTTGTCCGCATAGACTACCTGTAGGTTTCTAGGAACTGAATTGCTTGTTCCTCATACGTCGAAAACAACGTGATAGTCCAGTATATATATGATAAAATATAGTTTAAATCTATGCTATGATTATGGTTTAAAATCCTCAATATCAGTGACAACGAATGTAAAGACTAATATAAGTAGACTATTGTATTAAATTGTGGATTGTTTGATGTATTATGCTTACGGTTAATTAGGTATTAGGTAACGGTTTGAAACTGTTCTAGGTGCTATTGAGTGGGAATAATTGTGGATTAGAATGTCGTCTTTTGGCTATTTATAATTTAGTTGGTTAACTTTTTTGTCTATTATTGATTATTTTCTTGTTATTTATATACATACATACACACACACACACGAGAGAGAACAGCGCGTTCTTAAGCGAGATTTCCAGTTTAAAAATAAATATTTGTTAAATAAATCGTTTCAAATAAAATAAATTATGTAAGTTTACATGTAATTTATGATTAATTTATCCATTAAACCCTCACACATTACTTTGTATAAGTTTTAAAAGTGAAAAGTGCAGCTCATCTGAATATACAGTATTGAAATCGTAGTAGATTAACGATACAATTGCAGCATTGAGTTTTTGGAAAGAAAAGCTACAAAGTGGAATATAAACACCCTACACAAGACAGCATAAACGATTTTTCAAGATAAACGATACAGATCCGACGCAGCTATTGCAGAAAATCTTCTTTCGACTGATCTGTTCTTAGAAACATTACGTACGCAAAAACGATTTTTTTGGTGCTAGAGATGACCTACCTACTCAAGAATATTTGGCATTGGATTTTAAAGAAGTACTTAATGTGAGATTTGGAGTCAACAAGAGACCCAATAGATTTTCAAAGAATAGAGATAGACTGACAGTGCATTGATTCACATTAATTGGGTAAAAATCAGGCTTAGAACAGTGATCAAACGATACGCCCATTATTTTTGTGGTACTGACAATTACATGCTAGTTTTTACCATTGATCTCGTAGACTTCGTTCATCCGATGGAACAGCAACAAGGCTTTGATCATCTTGGTTTTTGGTTACCGTCGATAATAATTTGCATCGATGGTATACATTTGGATAGATGTTTATCAAATAATTGATTGTGACGTCGTCCCCCGGTCGCAGCGCAAACTGTGACGTTCTATCCTGATCTACTATGGCGCCAGTTGTGACGTGGCCGTTCCAGGGTCCTATCCTGGTCACGGCACCAGATGTGACGTCGTCCCCGGTCGCAGCGCCAACTGTGACGTTCTATCCTGATCTACCACGGCGCCAGTTGTGACGTGTCCGTTCCAGGGTCCTATCCCGGTCACGACACCAGTTGTGACGTCCCTAAACAGCACCAATTATGACGTCTTCGCCGCAGCACCAGCTGTTCGCTCCTCGCTGCTCCGTCCGGGTGTCGCTGCTCCAAACGTGACGTTCGCCTGTCGCGTCAGTCGTGTTGTCTCGTACTGTGACGACCAAATGGCTTGGTATCGGTCGCGCCAGCCAAATGTGACGTTCTAACCTTTTGGTGATTCGGGTGGGAATCTGTTTAGATTTGATATCAGCCTCGCCGTTCCCAACTCGCTTCCAACGCCTGGTTACCAAGGTAACTGCACTGATCTCCTGTCTGCCTACCCACGTTGTGAATTGATCTTAGACAGACGAGATCAAACAGGGGTTGGGGCCGTAATGCAAATTGAGTTCAACGGGGTGATAACACACAAATATGCATAAAAGAAAATAAAATGAAAACTCAAAAAGTTCAAAGTATCCAAGAAAATGGTAACAAACTTTATGTCTAGTTGTTCGATATATAGGACTACATCTATCTCCCGACCCGTTCTGTGGATTGTGACACGTCGCTTTCGCCAGGCAAGTTTTAACGCATCAAGTTGTTTGCTCTCTAAGAAATTTGTGTTTCGGTGTGTCTTTGGACGAAAGTCGAAAAACTTATCTCTGTGTTCTGGTTGTAAGTCGCTCTTCAGAATAATTTTTCTTGGTTGAAGAGGAGTCCAAAATTTTGCGTGAATCTTGGTCAGCTATCTTGAGGCGGCTTCAACTCTGGAAACTCATCTCAGCCGTCAGGGCTCGAACTGTCTTCTGCCCGCCAGGGTCCGACGAACTCTCTTCTGCCCGCCAGTGTCCGACTGAACTGATTTCTGCCTGTTGGGGCCTCGTTTTTATTGACGCCGTCAAAAACCGGGTTGGGTCTGTTGGCGTCGGGGATAATTCTAAATACATATCCACCTCTTTTATTTCTGGTTAGGGATTTTCCACTCTTTTCCATTTTTGGTAACATTTTCCTCACTCCCACTTTCTCACCATGCTTCTGAGGGGCGTGAACTGCCCCCCACTTCTTCGTAGCGGCTTCTCATACTTATACTCTGGATGGGGGCGTCGACAGTCTTCTTCGTGCGTCACGTGATCTCTCGGCCAATGAGGTCTTGGTCGGGTATCTTTCCTCCTCCTTCGTGCGTCATGTGATCACCACTTGACCAATGACGTCTTAGTCGGGCGTGAACAACCCGCGGCTTTGTTTTGGAAAATAAATACCTTGTTTAATTAAAAAAATTAATGATCTCTCCTCTTTCTCTTTTTCTTTCTTTCAAATCGCCGTTATCATGAACGGATAATGTGACAACTCTTTGTTCAACACGTGGCGTTTGTCAAGCAGTTTATCGCTAATGCATCAGACGGCTGGGTTTTCCGACATGGTCTCAGAAAGGAATTTTCTCCAAGTTTTCAGCCAGTCTGACGTCTCCGAGGCAGCAATAAAAACATTTCTTATTCCATTCATTTTCCTTCGGTTTATGTGTCTGATAACAAGATTTTATTATCGCAGTGAGACTACTTGTGTGGGATTTTAATTTTCCATACCCAGCTAAGGCTCCAAGCTACACCAGTGTTTTGTCAATTATCAAAATCTAACGTTTTCAAGTGGAC